AACATTTAACATTTACTAGCATGATTCTAACATGAGTAGCATGTTACTAGCATTATTCTAGCATGTTTCTAACATGTTTAACAAGTTGCTAGCATGATTCTAGCATGACTAGCATACTAGCATAGTGTTAGCATGTTACTAGCATGATTAGCAAGTTACCAGCATGTTGTTTGCATGTTTCTATGCTAATCCAGCCAAAACCAGTTGATTCAGTAAAAAACAGCTGAAAACCAGCTAAGACCAGCCTGTTAGCATTAATAGCAAGTTTACTATCATGTTGCTAGCATGATTAGCATGCTACTAGCATGTTTAACAAGTTGCTAGCATGATTCTAGCATGATTAGCAGCATGCTTTTGTATTGTGAAAAGCGCTATACAAATAAACTTGAATTGGATTGATTTGAAAAGGATGAACATAACAGTACGTTTTTGTCAGTTATTTTATCTACGGATCGCTGCATTTCTTACAGATTTCTGCTCATTCGAAATCAGATACAGATGAAGTAGAACTGTAAGATTAAATTAGTTTGAATGCATTATTGAGCGCGATTGTGGATAAGTGCTGTACCTGTTTAAATCATGCTTTCACCCGAAAATATTCAGTATCTAGAAGGAACAAGCAAATTCCTTGAGAACTATAACTTCCCGCTCATGTCCATTGCTGTCATCATAACCTTTACATTCTTTCTGATTTGAGTGAGCCATCTGTGGCAAGCTAGCTAAACATGTTTAACGTGAATTTTTGCTAAATATGCTGTTATGTTACGGGCCATTGGCATGAATTGTACTCGTGATGGAGCGGTTGTGGAGCGCTCTTGGAAAAAATTCGCTCCTCGCTCCATTCAAAATCACTCTGCACTCTGCTCCACGCATATACTCCGGTTAGGACAGGGGCCTAGTGGAGTCAGAAGTACAGTCTGTCAAAATGGTGTCTTATCTACCATTAAACAGATCAATTTTGCTTATTATGTCTCTATTTGTTTCTCTGTTTCTGCTGGGATTGACATCGCGTGGTAACTAGGATTTACACAAGCTTCAGTCTGGATCCAGAACAGCTGAGAAGAGATGATGCAACCCCTCAGAGGACCTCAGATGATGCCAACCCTGAAAGAACTTACATAACTACCACATTTTGCTATAAGTTTGATTGCATCATATAATAATTGCTGTTAATAGTGTTCATCGTCTGTTTGATTACGTCTTTAATTGATTTTTCTGTACATTTCTGCCATATGTACATTAACTGACAGTCACCACTGATAAGCTACCACTAAATATTGTAGAAACTTAATTTGCTGTAAAGTTGCTTTGCAATGATTTGGATAGACTACAGAGAGTCACAGAATTAGACACAAAACTCCAATCTTTGAAAAAAGTGATTCTACAGGGTTGGCCTGACAGGCCTGCCCATGGATGTGACTAAGGCTACGTTCACACTGTCAGGTTTTTGGGTTTGACAACCGCATTTTCTTTATAGGTGTGAGTCTCGAAATGTCCCATTCACACAGCAGCTTGCAGTTGTGTTTAGAATACTGTCTGTATGAACGTGCAACGTGACTCAAGCCCGTATTCCTTACCAGTAACCATATCGCTATGTTATCGCAGTGACCAAAGTAAAATCAAAGATGGCGACATGCATAAAACTGAAAGTCTTATCACTTTCTGACACGACAAGAGTCCAATCGAGCCGCAAGCTCTTTCGTCAAATCTTCATAAACCAACAGCAGCTTTTAAATTTGGGTGGAGAGCGGAGCATTTGAATTGCGAGCAGAACACAAAACTGACGGGATCTAAAATGTTCAGATGACACGCAGCTCATTTCTCCGTCACTGTAAGTTAACGAAGCATTGAAAACACGTAACACACGGTAGACGCACGTTTGTGCGGCAGAGCGGCTCTCTCTCACACTGTATGACGTGACAGGACTGGACAACTAGTTGTCTGTTCCGCTCACACAGCGCGTGTGTTCCGAGAATGCGGTTGTGAGTCCTGAAAATGTACAGGTGTGAGTTCGGTTACAGAATGCGGTTGTCACACTTGTAAATAACCGAACCTGTGAACATGGCCTAAGTACTTCCACATTGGAGATTAAATGAATGTGCAAAATGGTATAATTTTTAGAGGAGAGCAAGCGATTGTGCCAACAGAATTGAGGTCAGAAATAATACGGAGAATCCACTCATCACACATTGGAATCAAAGGATGTTTAAGAAGAGCCTGGGAATGTGTATACTAGCCAGGCATAAATGCACAATTTAAAACATTTATGGAACAATGCAGCACCTGCTCAGCACGAGAGGGTGAAACAACTGAAATAGACCTCGAGTCTCATGAAGTACCAACTCGTCCCTGGGAAAAGATAATAAACAGATTTGTTGCAGTTCGTGACAGAGACTATATGGTCACAGTGAATTACATTTCCAATTTTTGAGAGGTGGATCATCTGGAAAACACACAGTCAAACATAGTCAAACACAAACAAAAACAGAACTACAAGAACAGACTGTTGAGACAGGCACAATGCTTTGAAGGTGTAGCCAGAGAACTCAACAAGCTGCACTACAAGGATGAAGTAAGAATTTTGTTAGCATGATTAGCAAGTTACTAGCATGTTTCTAACATGATTAGCAAGTTACTAGCATGTTTCTAGCATGATTAACATATTGCTAGCATGGTGTTAGCATGATTAGCCAGGTACTATCAGGTTTCTAACATGATTAGCATGTTACTAACATGTTGTTTGCATGATTGGCATGTTACTAGCATCGTGTTAGCATTTTGTTAGCATGATTAACACATTTACTAGCATGATTAGCATGTTACTAACATGTTAGCATGTTTCTAACATGTTTAACAAGTTGCTAGCATGTTTCTAGCATGTCACTAGCATGTTGTTAGCATGATTAGCAAGTTACTAGCATGTTGTTAGCATGTTCTATGCTAATCCAGCCAAAACCAGTTGATTCAGTAAAAAAACAGCTAAGACCAGCCTGTTAGCATGAATAGCATGTTGCTAGCATGATTAGCATGTTACTAGCATGTTTAAAAAGTTGCTAGCATGATTCTAGCATGTTGTTAGCATGATTAGCAAGTTACTAGCATTTTGTTAGCATGTTTCTAGCATGATTAGCAAGTTACTAGCATGTTCTATGCTATGTGCTTTAGTGCTACAATGCACTAAAACACTACCTCCAATGTGTGAGTCTACTTCGTCCAGGATTGATATTTAACAAATCAGAGAACTACAAGAACAGACTGTTGAGACAGGCACAATACTTTGAAGGTGCAGCCAGAGAACTCAACAAGCTGCACTACAAGGACGAAGTGAGAATTTAGCCGCTTGCAGGACAGACTACTGAGGAGCATAAAACATCTGAGATTGAGCAAGGAACTCTGCAATGACTTTCCTGAGGTGAACAAGTCAGGAAAAGAGGAAGCAAATGCAAAGACCTCTGGACCAACTCTCCCAGAATGGTCTGACAGTGACAGTGTCGGTAATAAACAGCAAGCTGAACCAAGATTCCTAAATGCATCTACTTCCGGAAGGCCAAATAAAGTGCTTCTGCTTTCGCCTAGAAACACACAGCCACTAACTGCGGTTACTGAAACCACGCCTTCTTTCTTTGAGTGCACATTTGGGCAGCATTATGCAAATATTTCCACATAGTGACGTAGGTATGTGGGGGCGTGTTAGAACGAGCCGTTTTAGGAGGGCGTGGCAGAGTCTTAAATTTTATAAAGAATATCTCTTTGGGTTTGAGACTTTAGTCTTTGCAACTTCAGGGATCTTATCTATGCACAATCAGCTTGTAACACTCCAAAGAGAAAGGAAAACTTGAAATCGCATCATATGACCCCTTTAATTCTCAAGGAACGTTGTTTGGTTTTTGTGATGATGTCAACTTGCACATTGTTAAACAAAAATCATCATCGATTCTAAGTGCTGGCTCCTTTAAGTGAATGCGAGTCAGCTCCCGTCTGAGAGCCATTTTCTAAGAGCCGTTTATTTGATTTTTTTAACTCTCTTAATACAAGACAAAATAATGCGGTGATTTTTGACTCACTGCTTGTTGGCATGCACACTTCATGTACTGATTATGCTGCTTTGATGTGTAGGTGATGATTCTTGATGTGACACGCAAATACACCAACAGAATCAACACACGCGCACAATGTGTCAATGCTTCAGGGTAAATAGATATAACGCTACAACTGTTGAATGCTTCTGTTTTGCACACTGTAATTGAGTTTTTATCTGTTATATGGTGTTCCATATAACAGATAAAGTTCTCGATTCAGTTTATGTGCTCTCAGGGTAGTGAACTATCCAAAACACAGTTCACTAACCTGAGAGCACATAAACTGAATACATCACATATATTTAATGTCTGCATTTACATCTGCAAGATGTATTTATTAGATTGTTCATCTGCAATATGTCTCTAAAACGTTTCCTTTCAGATGTTAAATAGATGTTTAGAAAATGTCTTGAAGATGTTTATGATTTAGAATGTATGTAAATCTGCTTTTTCTAAGACATCAGATGTTTCTACAGATGTTTCACAGATCAAGAGCTCTGTTTTATGTTCTTACATGAATTAGGTTTTTGGTTTTTATGCCAAAAAATTATGTAAATAATGTATGTATATAATGTATGATATTTTGGAAAGGTTTATGGAGCCAGAAATATGACAAAACAATTTGAATTGTGAAAATCTGAATTATAGTGTGAATGAACAAAACTGAATATTATGTTGCATTTTATAGTATTAAATTTTGTTTAATTACATTGAATAATTTAATTATATTTGTGCACACATACCAGACATAGGTCAAAACGTTAACAAATTTGGCTGAATTAGAAAAGCCAGAGGGGATACTAAATAAAGAGCCATTTAAGAGCCAAAAGAGCCGGAATTCCCATCACTACCGTGAGTCTCCCGTCACATCAAGATCTTGCTCAAGTCCACTATTATCCTGTTCTTTTAGATCTTTGTTACCTGCAGGAAATGGATGTGATCCTGTGTGTGTGAAAGCTGTTCCAGTTCAGCGTCTCTCCTCCTCAGACCATTGATCTCCTGCTTAAGTAGCTTCAGTCGTCTTTCAGCTGGACTCACTACAGCCTTTTCCTGATCTCTGATCCGCTGTGTAACACCAGAGCAGCTTCTCTCAATAGAGCGGATGAGCTCAGTAAAGATCCTCTCACTGTCCTCCACTGCTGTCTGTGCAGAGCGCTGTTAGGACACACATCACAATCACACAGTGGGCTTCAGTAGGACTGAAAGTGGTGAGTGCTGACTAAGACTTCTTAAACTTCTCTTCTTCTCCAGACTCACCTTATGAGACTCCACAGCCTTTCTAAGCTGCTGAAAATCTTTCTCTCTCTGCTGGATTCTCTGCTGGAACCTCCTTCGTGTTTCCTTCAGCTGATTCTGGAGGACAAACCAATAACTGTAAACATCACATAAAACTAAAACCATAAAATCATCCTGAAAACAGTTATATAAATCCAATAAATTGGGCAGTCATGGCCTAATGGTTAGAGAGTCGGACTAGTAACCCAAAGGTTGCGGGGTTCGAGTGTCAGGATGGGCAGGAATTGTCAGTGGGGGGAGTGAATAACCAGCGAGTGAATAACTCTCTTTCCAACCTTCCACCACGACTGAGGTGAGACCCTTGAGCAAGGCACTGAACCCTCAACTACTCCCCGGGCATCTGGGTGTATGTTCACGGTGTGTGTGTGTGTGTGCGGTTTAAATGCAGAGCACAAATTCTGAATATGGGTCACCATACTCGGCCACACTTCACTTCACTAAATGTGGGGTGGTTCAAAGTTAACTGATTTGGACAAATCTCTGTAGGTTCAAGCTCCAAAAGAGATGATTAGTTACCATACATAAAATTAGGCATTAGGCCTGTTTCACTTTGCAAGCATAAGTTTCATGGAAGTGAAACTGAAATAGACATAGGGCTTCACACTGACAGCTTTTGTGCTGCATAACAGAGAGACAGCACTATATGGAAAATAAACAGATTTTGCCATGAATTACAAAATGGTGATCAGATGGTAGTCAGTGAGAACTTGGTCTTCATTAAATTTTATTTAAAAGGTGTTTTGTCACAGTTGCTTCCTTTTTTGAACTCGCTTGAGCTTTATACCTGGACCATTTCAATCAAGTTTTACAACTCATCACCAGTGTTGGGGAAAGTTACTTTTAAAAGTAATATTACAATATTGCGTTACTCCATAAAAAAGTGGAAAGTATGCGTTACATTACTTTTGCGTTACTTTTAAAATCTGGACAGGGCTTGCTTGTTTGTTTTTAAAATAAATTTTTTTATATTTTTGGCAAATATAAAAGCCTTTTCACACCAAAAGTGAAATGAATAAGCCTCAGGCTGAAGGAAATGCACAATTACATCCGTATAGTAGAATGCAGAAGAAGAAATTTCAACACACTTCAGCAATAAAAAAAGACACACAAATGTTTGTCTAGAGTAATTTTTGCTTATTAGTATGGTTGAACTGGATCATCGAAGGTCAGAAGCAAAGACATTGGTTAATAGAATGGGATTAAATGGAAGTCTGAGACAAGGAAGTGTGCTAAATTACGTTGTTGCTATGTGCTATGCTACTAAGTTGTTGTTTGTGGTCTCTCCGCAAGAAGAGAATTTGGGGAGTTTGGAAACTGCAACAGCAACAACGACCACAAGCTTAGTGCCTCCATCTTCTGCAACAACTTCAGAACCTTTTCTTCAGGGATCCTCCATTTGCGTGTTCCAGACTGCCTGGACCTTCTGCACAGACTTCAGAACCTTCACCTGCAAGGCTCCTTCAGCTGCGTGTTCTAGACCAAGGACCTTCTCTGTGCTCAGGAGTTCATCGTTCACCAGTGCTTTGTGTTCAAGACTGTGAAACGGATCCAACTCCTTTCTTCCTAGATAGCACACATACGTCTGCAAGATGTCTATTAAAGATTGCTTGATCTGGAAAGCATCTGCTGTGTACAAACATCTGATAGATGTTTCTAAGATGTCAGTTTTACATACATTCTAAATCATAAACATCTTAAAGACATTTTCGTATAATATAGACATATTGCAGATGAGCAAACACTCTAAAAAATACATCTTGCAGATGTTAATGCAGACGTCAGACAGATGTCTCTGTGATGTTGTATGTGTGCTATCAGGGTTCCCACTGCAACGCGGCCCAGATTAACAAGTGGAAGACATTTCCGCTCAGACCGAGCACATGACTAGGCGGAACATCAGTCGTTCCAAACCTCATCCCAGAGACCCTTGGCATTAGTGAGTATTGTCAGTATATGGTTATCTAATTTACATTAGAATTTATATAGCTGATGTCAGTTAATAACAAATAATCTCTCAATTTATTTGTTGAATCTAGAATAAGGTTTACCCTATTTCTTCCAGAAAACTACAGTTTTAACATCCATAGAAACATCCAACTCAGTTAAGAGGCTCTACAAGTTAACGATATCTCACAAATCCTTCAGACTGGTCAGACTACAACTTCCTCTAATTTATAAAACTCTTATTTACTCAAAAATCTTTCATGATTGTTCTTTATTGTCAGGGCAAAATTCTCTGCCTGGTGCCCCGTAACATAGGAAGGAGTTATTTGACATTCTCACTCACCTTAAGTGACCTGTGACCAAAACTATATATTAATATTTGATATTTTCAGCTTATAGTTCATACCTGTTTCTCTGTCCTCTGTTCTCCAGCTGATACAGTGTTGTGGTTTTTATGTTCATACTTTGTACACATCATACAAATACATTTTTGGTCAGTGTGACAGAAAACTTCAAGGAGCTTGTCATGTTTCCGGCAGATCATCTTCTGCAGTCGTCCAGTAGCATCAGTCAAATTGTGTCTCTTTCCTTTAAACAAACTCTCATGTTGCTCTAGGTGAGTTTGACAGTAAGAGTTCAGACACACCAGACAGGACTTGACGGCTTTGTATTTTCTTCCAGTACAGACGTCACATTGCACATCTCCAGCTCCAGCATAACAGTCAGCAAAAAGTTTAGTCTTCTTCAGTTTCTCCACCACTTCAGCCAGCATGGTGTTTTTAGCTAAAGCAGGTCTTGCTCTGAAGGTCTGTCTGCACTGAGGGCAGCTGTAGACTCTCTTCTTGTCTTCATGATTCCAGCAGCCTGTAATACAGCTCTTACAGTAACTGTGTCCACAGGGAATGGCTACTGGATCCTTCAGGAGATCCAGACACACTGGACACATGAACTCATCCTGAGAAAATCTGGCTTCTGCCATTTTACTGCATGAATACAGAGAAGGAAACACACAACAGCTTAACTACACTTCAGTTTCATTTTCATGGAAATGAGAAGTTTCCTCTTCCTGTGTTTTGAGTGAAATGTGTAAAAGGGGTTTGTCTGCAAGTAAAGTCACATGATAAAAACTATGAATGTTTTCACTTTACTTTTCTAACTAAGATGGATGGGACTTAAATTTACATAGTTTTCATCAAAGTTTGGAATCCCTGATTATCCCTCCATCTCCTTAGGGTGTCTGTCTTTAAGCAAAAGTTTATTTATTTTATGAGAACATTGATATGTAGGTTCTTATTAACTGTTCATGTGTGCCAATCATGAAAGTATTCTGACAACAGAAGTGTTAGTAATTGGTTTGAAATCATTTTTTTGTTCTTATCCTGTGTATTTATGCTGCATTCCATTTACCTCAGAGGAGGGATATTGTAGCTGGGAATGATGTCTCAAAATGTTGTTGTGCTGGTGAGTATTTCTGCTGGTTTGCTGGTTGTAAAAAGGGCTATTTTCAGCACTTGAGAATCAGACAGACCCTGGATATATCACAAAAATTATTTAATATTGTGGTCACACATGGATTGGAAATGAAGTGCTTCTGGTCCCACTTTAACTACTTTACTCATTTGATACAATGCACTTATTGTATACATGTGTTTTTACATTATACTAAAAATACCAGCATGTAAGTACAGCTGTAATTAATATCTGTAATTACATCTTTAATTACACTGTTGACCCTTCCCTTACCCATTAACCCAACTTTAAACCTAACCGTACCACCAAACCCCTCCTAACCGTTCCTATATCACACCTGAATAGCAGCAGAAGTGTTTTGCAATACAACATGAACACATAATGTACTTTTTGACGTAAGTACATAGCAGTTAAAGACATGCAGCTCCCTCACACTGTGGTTTAATTCTGACTTACAAATTATGTAGAAAATTGGCTTTAAGATGCTAAAAGAGAAGTGAAGTGAAGTGACGTGACATGTGGCCAAGTATGGTGCAAGTATGGTGACCCATACTTGGAATTAGTGCTCTGCATTTATCCCATCCAAAGTGCACACACACACACAGCAGTGAACACACACACACACACACACACACACACACACACACACACACACACACACACACACACACACACACCGAAAACACACACACAGAGGAGTGTGGGCAGCACACACACACACACACACACACACACCGTGAACACACACCCAGAGCAGTGTTTAGAGAGAAGTTGCAGAGAAGTTCACCCATAAATTAGGAACCATTTATGCCAAAGATCTTGTCTATACAAGAGTAACTAAGTGCTTAGCTAGGGGTCAAATGGGAAAAATACTGGATGGATTTCTCTCTGTAACTTGAGTTCATTGTGACTTTGTGCAAGTGGCTAAGTGTCATTGAATCTGTTTTTTTACAGTTTTCAAAACGTTATCCATGAGGCAACACAACTATTGCAAGACATGGCCTGTGTTTTCTTAGGACCCTATCAGGTTCCTTCAGACATGTCCGACCAACAAATACATGCAATTTCAAGACTAGATCATCTCTATCTTCACTCTTCAGACCATAAGTCTTTTGGGAAAGACTGAGGACAAGACCCAGGGCTTTCACAACCCCCTGGTGTCATGCTTTCTTCTGCTTCTCTGAACCAAACACCACATCTGTCCCAAGCTTAGAAGAAAAAAAAATCACTATTTTGTTGGGCTTGGAAATCAGCATGAGAAGATTGTGTGGGTTCAAAATAATGAAAGCCACTAGGACTAAAATGTTGGTGGATATACCAGTGCTGGCCACACTGTCGTTCATCGAAATTAAAGTGGACTATCAGGGTGCTTTCACATGCACAATTTTTGATGCACACCCAGGTTTGACTGACACCAGAGTTTGGTTTGTTTGGATGATATGAACTCTGTTTTTTGAGTGCGCACCTGCAAACCATACCTGTATTCGCCAAAAAAGGGTGGTCTTGGGTGTGGTTCATGTGAGCTCTGCTACAGTTTGCTGCTGTTATGAACAGCATTATACTAAGTCACAAAAGTTAACCACTATTGATGATGTGTGATTCGATAAAATTATGTGTTTGTTTGTGTTATCGTTCACTTTCCTGACAAGTGTGACTGATGCACTGCAAGCAGAGAGAATATATATATATATATATATATATATATATATATATATATATATATATATATATATATATATATATATAACATTACTGAGCGCACCTTCAGGATGTTGAAAATGCACTGCCGTTCCTTTTTTAAAGGGCCTTGGAGATCAGGCCTCTTTTCACCCTGGTGGTTATTGGTGCCTGTTGCATCCTAGTCAAGTCAAAGTCTTTTGGTGTCATGTGCACCGAGTACAATGAAAAACTTTCTTGGCAGCATCTCTGCTAACTCTTCTCTTTTAATTGCAAACCTTGGACGTCGTCTCAGACCCATAGTTGAATCCACCACTGCATGTGTAGTTGTGGAATATGAACATAATATTTAATCATAAAAAAACCTAAACATGCCCTAAAGAGAAATATATGAATTTGTTGGGTTTTTAGAGGGAGTGTAAACATTCACGCTATGTACTGTAACTTGACTTGAGAAGGCTAATTTGCTCCTCGTACAATATACTATAGAAACTAATTACAGAAGGCACTCTTGTGCAGAAAATCCAAAACTGACTCGTAGAAGTAATAATTTATGATGTGCCACGAAATCCCTAATATGGAGAAAGGCATCCAGCTATCACTGTAGCTAGGCTGAATACAAGTAGAAACATTATGACTGATGAAACATGAAGACAATATATGCACGACTGCGACAATATATGGGTTCTCAAGTTATCTCCAGTATATGAATAATGCAGTGCTATTGACATATCATTTATTACAGTATAGAAACTATAAAATATACTTTCTGCCTTATTCTGTGGGGGGAAAAAAAGTGTAAAAATAGTTTAAAAAAAAACAAACAAAAAAAGTGTCTGCACTATACAAACAAATCATAAAATTGCCATTAGGAAAATATAGGGGAAAAGAATATTATAGAATACAAATTATTGGTTATTGTCCAGCAATGTAGACTATTTGATTTCCTAACCAATTAAAAGTAAGACATAAGAAAAAGCTATTATTATTACATTTGATCAGTCTTGGGCAGTAACGCATTACTTAGTAACGCGTTACTGTAATTTGATTACTTTTTTAGTAACGGAGTAATTTAACGTGTTTTCGTAATTTTCAAGATAGTAATTAGAGTATAGTTACAAGCCGAGGTCTCTATACATTACTGCCGCGTTACATTGCTGGTAGAATGCAGTGATTTCTAATCTAGATTGTAAAAAGGATGTAGCACACGCACTGTCGAGTCAAGTGCCAGTGGATTAGAGACCTGCTCCCGCGAGACCCGACGCAACAGATCGCGGCGCGGGACAAGACTTGATAGGCAAGTGCAGAGACTCGTGTGTGTGCGGGATGTGGGAGAATAAAATTATTCACGTGACTCCCGCAAAATAGAAATATCTAAAACCAATAAATTGTTATTCATTATACATTGAATATGATTGCACGATTAACAGGTTTTGATCAGTCTTGGGCAGTAACGCATTACTTAGTAACGCGTTACTGTAATTTGATTACTTTTTTAGTAACGGAGTAATTTAATGTGTTTTCATAATTTTCAAGATAGTAATTAGAGTACAGTTACAAGCCGAGGTCTCTATACATTACTGCCGCGTTACATTGCTGGTAGAATGCAGTGATTTCTAATCTAGATTGTAAAAAGGATGTAGCACACGCACTGTCGAGTCAAGTGCCAGTGGATTAGAGACCTGCTCCCGCGAGACCCGACGCAACAGATCGCGGCGCGGGACAAGACTTGATAGGCAAGTGCAGAGACTCGTGTGTGTGCGGGATGTGGGAGAATAAAATTATTCACGTGACTCCCGCAAAATAGAAATATCTAAAACAAATAAATTGTTATTCATTATACATTGAATATGATTGCACGATTAACAGGTGCAAGCGTATGTAGAGTTTCTATTTAGGCTATAACACGTGTTTGCAGCGTTGAGCAATCCAGTGCTGAAATTTGCAATCTCAAGAATCCTCTCATTATAACACACGAATTGTAGACATTATGAATGATTCATTATGCATATATTTATTGTGCTATAACAGAGATTTGTGAGATTGAGATGAACTGAGATGTCTTTTAGAGGTTATAAATGCAGTGCTATTTGCTGGCATTCTGTCATGCCAAACCATGCACGCAGCAGTCGCTTGCTTTAGTTAAAATAACAGTGTTCTGTGAATGTTGATGCTTTAATAACAAATATTTATCGGGAGCGTGTATGCTGGGATTTCATGAATTTCATGGAGAAAAAAGTAATTACTGCAAGTAATGTAACTAATTACTAATTACTTTTGAAATAAAGTAATCAGAACAATAACGTACTTTTGTAATTACTTTTAAAAGGAGTAATCAGTAATCAGTAAATTAATTACATTTTCAGAGTAACTTGCCCAACACTGCATTTGATATTTCTGTTCCCCTTACTTCTGAAAAGATTGCTACGCCCCTGCACACATAGCATAACTACTAGTGTTAAGCCATGCGGCTTACATTGTTTTAAGATATATGAAAACATTTTAACTTGGTTGCTACTTGAGCATTCAGGCTACGTCCACATTAATCCGGATACTTTTGAAAACAGCGTTTTTCGTTTTAAACACTCTCCGTCCACATTAGCATTTTCAAGCATTTGTTCACACTACAACACGAAAACAGCGTTTTCAAATTTATCCACTTTGAAGGACGTTTTCGTAAAGTTCCATTTTCCTTGACAAAAACACTGTCTCAGGGTGGACAGAAGGCCAAAATGGAGAGAAAAAGATGCGTTTTCTAACTAAAACATATTAGTGTGGACAAATATGGGATTAAATTTCAGCTGCAATTCTGCGCGCGAACGATCATATTTTGAGCACGCAAAAGTGCGTTTTGCA